AGACATACGATCGTAATACGGCCTCAGGTAATACGGCAAAAAACGGTGAAATACGGTCGTATATGGTCGTATTTTTTCCGGTTACGGTCGTATCCAATCGTTTACGAAGTTCGTAATCATCGACCTGGGTAAGCAAGCAGACAATTTATATCTACTGGACTCTTCTCTACGAGAAAGAGAATTACATCACCAAAGTCAAATATATATATTGCAATTAGAAAAAAATCAAAATAAGAAGCAATTTTTCAAATACGAATCAATGTCACCCTCATCCACAGCTATTCCTGAAAAAGAAGATGAGGTAAGTGAAATTAATTTTCAGTAACAGAAAAGTATATAAAAAATTCTTCTTTTTGTTTTAGGTGATTACAGAACAAATTGGTGTGACTAGAGAAAATCTAGACGATCAACAACGATCATGGATGACTGCGTTAGCAAATATGTCAGCAACAAAAATGATCTACATAATCTCGTTTATAATGGGTAAGTTCTATTAATTATTTATAGTGAACTTTGTAATGAAAGTATTTTTTTAGTTGCTGTTGTTGGTGTATTAATATGTATGCTCATATCGGGTAAGAATAAATTTAAATTTTAAAAATAAATTATTTGATTTGATTATTTAGATTTATTTAATTCAGTTAAACGAAATGCAATTAATTATGATACAAATTCTAATTTATTGCGTGGAAACAGTGAGTTTATTTAATAAATAAAATAATAATTTATTCATTTTTTTTAAGTATGAAAATAGTGCGTGCACGTGATCTTGATAATTATTTAAAACAATCTAAAAAATGTTATTCATATGATGACAAACTATATAAATATACATTATGTTTGTTCGAACAAATAGAACAAATCTCAACAAATGATAACAAAACAAGAATAATTAGAACTTATCTTAAATGGTCTGAAATAAATACAAATTTACAAATGATATATGTATATAAAGTGCTAGGTTGGAATGGGATGTATCATGAAGTAACTATACACTTTACATGTGGTAATGAAAATAAAATTATAATTATAAAAGAACAATTTCACCGTGTCTATGTAATGCTACTCGAAACTCCATTTATATGTATCAAACATAATCCTGATGATAAACATAAACCTGATGAACTTTAACTAAATTTTTTTTTCTACCATGTTAATGAATAAATTTTTTTTATACCATCATTAATAGATAAATCAAGACTAATTGAATCAGATTCGTTTCATTGGATAACAAGTAACGCTCGTCCGAGGACTCGCTTATCTCTTTCTCGTAAAAATCTGTTTTCTCCACATTTACCGGAACAACAAATGACAACCGTAAAAAATTGATTTTCGATGTTTTTTTGACTTCTCACCCACCTCGTACCATGCTCACTAAACAGGCCACAAACTCGAAGTCCCTGCATCGAAAAACCTCTAGAAATGTCTTTTCCTGAAAATCGATTTTCAATGTTTTTTTGACCCTGCGGACAGACAACCAGACATTTTGTTTGCAAGACTCTTCTCTACGAGAAAGAGAATATTATCAATAAAATCAATTCGAATGGATTCGGTCTCTGGTGTCTACGATGAAATAAAATCTAATGATGAAATTGTTCTTTTTTTCTCTAATTTAGAGCATGTTCAAACTTGATCAATCTTACAATATTAACTGAATTATTAATTTATTCGAAATTTATTGATAATTCATTTCTTATTCCAGTTTTCAAACAAATTAAAATAATCGAAACAACATTTGAAGATGTTTATTTTCCTCCAAGTTTTTCAATGAAATTTGTTGATCGTTTTCCATCACTTACACATATTGAACTTCAAGTTATTTCGTTCGACGATTGTGTGTCTATAATCGATACATTTCTTAGTCATCTGAAAAATCTATCATATCTTAAAATTAATTATTTTGAAGATTCATTACTTGATGATCCATTTTCACTTGAAAATATTATTGAAAAACGTCGTCAAGCATTACCCATGAATATTATTCATGAACAACTTATCAATGTCAAAAATAATGGAGAAGTTATAGAAATTTGGTTAACATGATTCTTTTATGTATATATTGTTTTGTTTGTTTAATAATAAATAATAAAATAATTGTGAAATAAATAAAGTCTTTGTGGTTTTAATAATTTTTATTTAAACGAACAATTTATTATTCATTGGCATAAATTCGTAGAACAACCAAATAATAAAATAGATCTCATTCATTTTTAACACTACCGTCTTCTCACTTGTTCAATAAGATTTGATAAACATGAATAAGAACATACTTTATTTAACTTTTTTAGTCACAAAGATAAAAATATTACGAACTTTCTAGAGTAAATATGAGAGTCAATAAAATAAATTTAGCTTAGAAATTTAAAGGAAAACTGATATATAATTAATAAAAGAAAAAGTTGAAAAAGAGATGTTAGAGATATATTCATTAAGAGATTGGAGAAGATAAATCAATATATTTATCTTTCGATTAATACTACATAAATTTTAAAAAAAATACACTTATTTTATCTCAGTTAATAACTGGAGTTTGCTACTTTACTAATATTGCTCACATCTTTTATTATTGTTGATGATCAATATTTTTTATAATTCATGATTATTTCTTATTTAATATTATTTTAATCATCAATGGCGACATTCATTGTCTAGATTTTACTATGAAAAGTGTATAAAAATCAATTTAATGCTACTACCCAACAAAAAATTCCACGTCTTCATTGTTTATTATAAGGAATTTTGTGAATATGCAGTATAAGAGTGTGTGAGAAATGATGGATGTGGACATAGAATTAACTTTTTTCTACCCACATCATTTATCGCCAATATTAAAAATAGTTTTGAATTTGAATCAATTAAAATATTATATGAACAGATGAATGATTTTAAATATAAATACTAAATCGAATATTATATATAAAAATAATCTTTAATCAAAAAGAAAAGTATAAAGCATATCTTTAGATAAAATTCATTTCTTCTATGATAACTAAAGAAAAGGTTATCATTTAAATGATCCATATTTTATTTAAATTAAAGTAAAGAATAGAAGTATATAGTATCATTCACTTTTCTTTTCTTCTGTTATATGCTGTAAAGATTATATCTACCATATACAATATATGTTCTCTTCGTATTAACTTCTATAGTTTAAATATTTTCCTTTATCAGTTTTTCTTGCCAATGTCATTCATAGATTTAGAAACAATTAACGTTTGGAAAATAAACGATATAATTTATTATTGATCTACTAGAGTAATCACTCGATTAGAACTTTCGTATAAACATTCAAATTATTTTCAACGAATATATGAAATTGAAAAATTTTATTTAAATTCTATATAAAAATACGTTTTTTAAAATATTTCCAAATTATGACTAGTAGCAATAAAACCAGTAATGACTGGTGAGAAAAAACAGAGAGAGAGAAATTAATTGTTATTTTATTTAGATTAAATTAATCTTTATATAAATAAAGCTCATTTATTTTTACGAATCAATTGTTACTGATATTTATCTATAAAAAAAATGGCCATTTTATAAATTTAACTGAACAAAGATGATGTTCTCATAGGGAAGGATCTATTCGTTTAAATACTAATACTAAGTAGACTTTTGTTAAGTAAGATTTATATTTGCTCAGAAAATGATTTAAATCTAAGTAGAATATTTAAACGCTAAGTAAATTTAAAGTTTCTTAGTAAAAAAGACTAATCGTTAAGTTAAAATATTAATATTTGAGTAAATTATCTTTTTAGTAAGTTAATAAATCAAAACCATAGTAATTAACTACATGTAATCGGTAAAAAATTTCATCGTCAAGTAGTTTCTTATAAAGACAAGTCAAAGTTTCTATACTTCTATGATGACGTCTATATTTGCTCTTTCGTTCGTTAGTCGAGAGTGACTATGTACACTTATTCTTCGCGTACATTTAGGTACTGATTTTTTTCTTTCTGTTTACTATATTGGCTATAGATAATCAATAATATTTTCCTGACCATTCCAGAGAATTCTTTTTCTTCTGCGTTTCGATATGTAGATATGAATCGATGAAATGGAGTGTGTAGATGTGGGTGTGGATATTATATTTATATCACATTCGCACCCACCCCTTAAAATAGTATTTTAATCAAATAACTAATATATAAATATAATTTCATATGAATTGAATATTAATCGAAATAATAAAATGGTTTTAAAAGAAAGAAGAATAATTTTATTAAGAAATTCTCTCGAATGTAACATTAAACTTTCAATAGAATAATATTATTAAATCATAGAAATTTTATTTATTTATTATTGAGATAATTCTAAATTACAATTTATATTTATTAATTATTGACACAAATATTTCTTTCTATACAAATAGAAATCATCTCATATTTTTTTAACTAAATTAAACTTATTAATTATATACACAAATATCTTGTTTTAATTATTAAAAAGATAACTCCTATAGAATATAGACGAATTAATCGATTCAAAAGTTTTTATTACATACAAAATCATTTCAAATAAAATATTCTTGTATTGAAACTTTAATGGAAAAAAAAAATTCTATTAGCATCTTTTCTCTCTGTCGTCATATATGTATTATGCCGATTTATAGAAATAAGAAAATTCTTTATTAAAACAAATAAAATTGAACAATAAATGAAAATTTTCTATAAAATCAATTCAATTTAAATATAATTAGAACGAAATATAGAATTTTTAATTCATTTTTTTATTCTTGTATTAAATTAAAATAAGTTTTATTAGTTATTTTAGCAGCCTTATCTTTTTCTTCTCCATTTTCGTTGTATCGAAGAAATAAAATGAAAAGATCACGTGTATTAACTAACATATGTTTAAAGAGAAAATTAAACGAAAAATTTCCCAAGATTTTTATTCATATAAATTATTCTTATTAGAATTTTCATAGTTATTGTTATTGTCTCATTCGAAATTATTTAAATAAAAGTAAATGATGAATATTATTAGAGATTTTTTTTCATATAATTTTCTTCTAAAATGTTAAATCGATTATGAAATTCAAGAAAATAATATTTGATTAGATGAATTCTTATTTATTTTATACGATTTAATTAAAATACGACGAATATGATGATGATCGTGAAAGTTTTGTTTTCTATATTATAAGATTTTATTTTGAAAAGAATTTGATAATATTATTGATTTCAATTGTAAAATGTATTGTTAACCTCGATCATCTAATAGACCTAGATCAGAATGAAATAGATGTTATATGATATGTTAATAATATTTGACTAGAAACTTACTATATTTTAGTCTATTCTTTTGTGTTTGTACTTCGACGAATATGTTTTAACCAATAAGAAAAAGAGAATACTGATGATATATGTCGATAAACAAAAAATACAATGACATGATATCATTTTCTTTCATAGTGATTTGAATAGATGATGGGGGTTGGACGGGGGTATAAAAAGTCCTGTTTAACTGCATATCATCACTAGTCTTTCAGCTTCGACGTTATACAATAAACTATCAAAGCAATTTATACATCAATAACGATGGCTTGGGTA